TTATCGAGTAGTATAACTTGAGTTGCTTTAGCTCATGGGATTCGACGAAACCCACTTTTTGAAAGAATTGATTCGTGCTTTTCTCTACTCTATACTTACCTGGGAGGCCTTTACTTTACCACTCATATATTAGTAAAGTGAGGCATTAATGCCGTTTTCTATACATCGCTAGTATGAAGATCACTTTTTCAGAAATAATTTCATTACTGAGCATACGCCTTGTTAGCACACCCTTAACGGAAAATGATTAAACTCAGCCTCATCAGCTATATCTGATTTATATTTAAGTTCTAAATATTATTTCGACTGCAAAACAACACACAACTTTATTTTAGCTTAGAGGTTTCCTTACTTAAGGTCTACTTCTGCAATACAATCTTAATTTCAATAATTGTTTAACCATGATAAATTCGGTTCTTAAAAGATATCTTGCCAGGAAAAGCTACTTAAACTTATTTAAGTGGACATAAACTAAATGTTAATGTATTACATGTATTTAAAGAGAAGAGCTAAATTCTGGCAGTGGGCTGGGCTCCAAGGGTGTGGCTATATTTTCGGCTTCGCAAGCTCAGCATTTTTTAGCAAATAGCTGTTGAATTCGAATAGTAGATTCGGTGGACTAAGAGGTGAATGCAACTCTCTCTAGACTAGAAAGGACAGATGGAAAGACATTGGTTGTTACCTGGTATATAAACTAAACTGGTCTTCTCCTGCCGTTCATGCAAAAATCCCCGTCTGTAGCCATTTTGTGTACACGATTTACACGTTGACAACTAAAAACATCATCACGGCCATCGTCCTCAACGGCAGCTGCAACGCCGATACCACCAGATTAGCTAAAATCTGCTAACTTCATCACTGACAAGGTATGTTATAATCGTTGGCTTAGAGCCTGTATTGTTTATCTAGAATTAGCAGACTTAGGGTCACCTTAAGCTCTCCAAAAGTGCCATTTATCTTTATAGACTGTAAATATATGCATTGGTCTTATTGCTGAAATCTGTTTGACTAGTAAATCAGACTTCGCATTTCTAGTTAACAAATGCCAGTGGCCGTTTATCCGCCAGAAAGCCATTGAGATCTCTAGAGTTCTCTCCTATTCATTAATATTAATCAGCCAAAGATGGACGCCAATAAGACCATCAGCCATTTATAACCGTAAGCATGAATCTATCAGTATTGCTTTATTCTCGGTGTATGAAGTGAACTTGGAAAACAATATTGTATACACTCGTTTATTTTACTGAATAATGTTTTATGTAATAAGATTTTCATTGGCATTTAATAATTTAATGTGATTAATCATTTTGTATGGGAAATATCCTTATATTGAATATCCATATAGTTACATACATTTTGATAAATTTATCCATTATTTATTTAAGGTAGCTCTCTACTAGAATACACATAGAAAGAAAAATATATGAATTTACTTTTCCATTCCCGTTACCTTTATATCATGCCACATATTATAATCTGTTCGCAACCGACAGATAATTTTGATATATTTAATTGGTGCGTGTTTACAGTAATAAGGCCAGTTTTTCTCAAATTGTATATGTAAATGAAGAATTGGTGATTCATTCTGAGACTAGTTTATTCTTCAGAATATACTTATTTATTTGGGGCTGAATCCTTTATTGGGCCTTCCAAACAGCTAACTCTTTTGAAACCGAAACCTAGATTGGCCTCAAAACCATAAAATTATCATTTAACCGACAACCCGTTTAGGTTAGGCAAACAGCACCACAGGAGTGGCGGGCAATCTTAAAGTTTCCCACTTATGGTTCTTGGGCTATTCTGTGGGGAATCATATATACATCCCATCTGCAGTTAAGCATACAAAGGTTTTTATTAATCAAGCCAGAGATTAGTTTTGCCTGTAATATGCACGTAATTACCTTTATTGTACAGCCATATCTGAGAGCTGGCCAAACATTAAGGAATTGTCTAATACATGATTCATGAACTTCACTTTTTTTGAAGCAGACTATTCCAAAGAGAAATGGCTCTGTGCAAGCTTAGCGCATTCAATGAAGAGGTGATTAATACACTTCCATCCAGGGCCAGGGAGTACGTAAGAGAAAAGGCATTGCTCTGTCAGCCGGACACGATCTATATTTGCGACGGAAGTGAGCAGGAAAGTCAAGGCCTAATTGACCTTCTGGAGAAACAAGGTAAGCAGAGCATCTGTTCTATATTTATGTTGAGTTTGCTTGGCTTCGCATGCATGGAGCAAATGAAGCCGAATTGCACAGTTCAGTATTTAACTGTTGATTGGCAATTACGATCTACTTCGTACTAGTAAAAATCGCAATGCCAACATGCCGAAAATATACAGAGGGTTTGGTTTTATTTGGGACGAGAGGTAGAAAATGTGACATTTGGGGAGGCAAGACTAAGCGAAATTTCTTGGCATCGTGGGAAAATTCAACCCACATGAGCTAGGATAAATATTATTTTTATTCAATATCTACTCATAGTATTACTAACTATTCTTTATCAACAAAAATAGTACAGAGTTTAATGGCGAACATATGTTTTTCTTATGACTATATCCATAATAAATGTAAAATGTAAACCAGTCTTAACTTTAAGCCAACTTGGGTTGGAGGGATTTGGAAATTTTTTGGAAATTTTTGGAAATTATTTGTCATTTTCCTCAAGTAATGAATTCGGGCTCTTTTGGAATGATGATGAGATTGTGCTGCTATAATCGTCACTTTTGGCAGGATATGAATGTAACAACGAGCCAAGTTGATTTACGAACTTCGATATTTTCCTAAAGAACCCTACTAGTTGGGCTTAAATCAGCGATTAGCCATGAGTAATTTGAATTCTCAAATATTAGTATAGGTAAACGATACCTAGCAAAATGATGTCACTTTTATAGACCATACTCTTGCTAATTGGTACAGAGAGTAACAGGAAAAAAATTGATTTTGCTAATGAATTCAACTCATTATGTGCCACAAGAGGGCCTCCTCACTTCAATTGAAATAGATTATAGACTTCGTCAAAGTTTTGGTAGCATCTCCTTCGAGATTTAGAATCAAGTCATATGCACAAAAAGTAAAAATACACTACCCACTGGAGAGAAATCCAAACCAACTCTATATTTCCTTAGAATTTCAAAGCAAGAATAGTTTTAGAAGGCGTCTAGCTATAAAGGAATGTGTAATAAATTTTACTACAACAAGAATAATTTAGATACGAAGAGAAAGTTGGTTTCGATGAATCTCCTGAGATTACATTGTTAGGGTGACCTTCATTTCGTATGAAAATGCATGAAGAAGGGATTCGTTGGTCGATCTCACCTGATGAGGACGGATGAATCTCGTTGTACTGCAGCCGTTTGTCTTTTATAGGATATTCATGTTGACGCAGTCCACGAGACTTCCTCCCTCGTTTCGGGTGGAAACATGCAGAGCTTTCGTCCATCATATGATGGACATCATCGGAGCTGGGTGTCATTTTTGTAAAAGTCTCACGTTAACACTAAAGCAAGAACACTATCCGGCTCTACCGTATTTCTTATATAGACTCAATCAAGCCAAAAAATAAAAAATAAAAAACCTAGATAAATCGATACAGAGTGATTTGGTTAATTTTCTTTTGTACTGGTTCTTTTATTTTTGCTCGATTTTATGAGTATGTATATTTGTGCGTGTTAGCGTCTATATGCAATACGGTTCATAAATCAGAGTTGTCAAAGGTTAAATCTCCGGTTCTGATCCTCAAGACCTAATAGCCTAAAATAAAATCTTTGACCGAGACTGCCTAGCACCGTAAATAAGTGTGGTTGAGATAATGAAATATGAGCTAGTAAGTATGATAATAAAGTTAGGAAACCACTTTTCCCAACCTTTCAGTCAAAGGTCATTGACGTTTAACCCTCCAAGGAAAGGCTAGACTGGGGTTGAGTAATCTGAAATGTCTGATTTGTTTGAAGAGCTTACATGTTTACAAACTCATAT